CAATTCAGTGAATTTTGATTTATCTATGACGCAGGAAATCCGCGGAATTCCAGAGCATCATCGTCCTATGATTGCTCCGTCATTATACGCTGCAAAGTTTGGCCATGTTGATTCTGCAAGAACGTTTTTCACAGATGGATCTCTAATAGAGGAGTCCGCTGGTTTTGGTGTATTTAATGAATTTCATAGCGCCTCTCGAAAACTTGAAGCTCCTTGTTCTGTGTATGTGGCTGAACTGGCAGCAATTCACTACACTTTGGAAACTATTGCTTCACTTCTTCCAGCCCACTACTTTATTTTTACGGATAGTCTCAGTTCTGTCGAGGCTATCCGTTCCATTAGGCCGGTAAAGCACTTCCGTATTTTCTCTTGAAAATACGAGAACTGCTTAGTACTTTATCCGTGCGCTCTTTCATCATCACCTTCGCGTGGGTCCCTTCGCATTGCTCAATTTTGGGCAATGAGAAGGCGGATTCACTTGCGAAGGTGGGCGCTATGGAAGGCGACATTTATGATCGACAGATCGCCTATAGTGAATTTTTCTCTATTTATCGTCAGCAGTCGCTCGTTAGCTGGCAACATCAATGGAGTGAAGGGAGCTTGGGACGATGGCTACATTCAATTATCCCTAAGGTGTCGAAGTTTGCATGGTTCAAAGGGTTGGACTTGAGTCGAGACTTCATACGCGTGATGTCTCGTCTCATGTCCAATCACTATTGTCTAAACGCTCACTTGTTCCGTGTGGGGTTGGGAGACAGCAATCTCTGTGAATGTGGACAAGGTTACCAGGACGCTGATCACATCCTTTGGTCTTGTGCGGAGTATCGTGGAGTCAGATCACATTTTTATGATTCCCTTCGGGCTCGAGGTAGACAACCTAATGTTCCAGTTCGGGATATTTTGGCTAGACGCGATCTGGAGTTTATGAAACTCATATATGTTTACTTTAAGGATATTAACCTTAGATTGGAAGTTTGATTAACCTTGTGTTTAGTTTGTATTTTGTACGTGTGGTTTTTTTTTCAATGTTTGTTTTCAAGATGAATAGAAATAATTTCATGCTTTAGGATTAATTAAATAGTTGTATCGTAAACCACATTTCAAACCAACTTCTTCCCTTTTCCCATCCAAAAAATTGTAAATCTCCACTAACCTCGAGACAACCGCGAGTACTCGGTCCAGTTCCTTTAACTTTAAATTTAAGACAGTAATAATGTATAACGCAAAGGATAACTCGGCTCTGTAAAGTTTATTCGATTGAGCCTGTACAAATAAAGTAATTATAAAAAATAAAAAAAAATAAAAAGAGTCACAATGAGCGTTTTTCTGATCGCCTCTTCGCGAAGAGTGAAGAGCGAAGAGTGGGTGAGATAAATTACAAAATCGCTTATTGCAACTCTCATGTAGCAAAATTGGCAGGTATTATGTGTCAAACACAAAATTAACAATCTTTTCTTGTTGTTTACATAATCAAAATATTTTCATAATATCTTATTATTCCATAATTTCTTAAAACATTTTTTTAGTCAAAATGAATGGAAGGCACCCTGTGTAACAGTAATGACAATATAATATAGCAATTGAAAAAAAAGGTGGTGTTGTGTACAAGACACGACCGCATGGTTTACGTAGACTACGTTGAGATGTTTAGTGAACTTCTCGTGCATTTTTCTTATTATTATTATCTCTATTTAGGAGATTTTCAGCCGCCCCATTGCATTTTTCTTGATATTGATTTAAAATACAGTAGAAGTAGAGTCAAGATTCCTATAGTACTGATGCCACTGGATTCCTATAGTACGGTTGATCCGGAATTAACGAATACACGTAGCATATGGGACTAGAGCTAATTGGGACCAAACACTGATAACTTCCTGATGTCTTCTGAGAAGTTGTTAAGCAAAAATTTGGCCAGTGGTCCCCAGTATAAAATGTCTGGTCAAACTCCGATTTTATTGTGATAAGGCGTCTATGAGTGGTTTCTAAAAAACCATCGAGTCCTAAGATCAGTTTCTTGAAATGACCATTTTAAAGGATGTTACATATCTTCCGGTGCACAACTCAACTCCGAATTCATCTGATAAGGTGTCTATGAGTGGTTTCTAAAAACCCGCGGAGCTCTTGGATCAGTTTCATGAATTTGCCACTTTTAAGGATGTTCCGGATCTTCTATTGAACCATTCGGTAGTCCCCAGGGTCCATATTCCGGTCACAACTCTGAATACATTCTGATAAGACGTTTATGAGTGGTTACGAAAAAAACCGCGGAGGATCAGTTTCATGAATTGACCTATTTTACGAATGTTCCTGATCTTCCGGTGGACCATCCCGTAGTCTCCAGAGTCGATATTCCGCACACAACTCCGAATACATTCTGATAAGACGTTTATGAGTGGTTTTGAAAAAACCGCGGAGCTCTAGGATCAGTTTTATGCATTGACTACTTTTACGAATAATCCGGAACTTCTAGTGGACCATCCTGCAGTCCCCAGGGTCCATATTCCGGTCACAACTCCGAATTCATTCTAATAAGACGTATATGAGTGGTTTCGAAAAATCCCCGGAGCTCTAGGATGAGTATCATGAAATGGCCGCTTTTACAGATGTTCCGGTTATTCTAGTGAACCATCCTGTAGTCTCCAGGGTCCATATTCCGGTCACAACTCCAAATTCATTCTGATAAGCCGTTTATGACTGGTTTCGAAAAAACGCGGAGTTCTAGGACCAGTTTCATGAATTGACCACTTTTACGGATATTCTGGATCTTCCGGTGAACCATCCCGTGGTCCCCAGAGTCCATATTTCTTAAACAACTCCGAATTCATTCTGATAAGACGTTTGTGAGTGGTTTCGAAAAATCCGCGGAACTCTAGGATCAGTTTCATGAATTGACCTATTTTACGGATGTTCCGGATCTTCCGGTGGACCATTTTTTTGTCTCCAGGGTTCATATTCTGGTAAACACTCAGAATTAATTTCGATAAGACGTCTATGACTTGTTTAGAAGAAGAAGAAAAACCGCGGAGCTCTAGGATCAGTTTCAGGAATTGACCACTTTTACGGATATAGCGGATCTTCCACAGGACCAGACTTGTGTCCTGCCGGAGACTGAATCATCCCAAAAGGTGGCCAGCTTTCTGCTTAACAACTTCTCAGAAGACATCAGGAAGTTATCTCTTCAAATTGCCGTACAATCAGTGTTTGGTTCCAATAAGCTCAAATCCCATATGCCGTTAATGCCGGTTCCTACTGTGCGGTCCCTGTTAACCGTACTATAGTAATCTTGACTGTAACTTATTTCCTTAATTTACTCCATTCCCTCTCCTTGACATGTCTATTTCCTCACCCTTATTAGTATTTTTCTGACTGTTCTGGACTTTCCGTTAGGGATATTTCCGCCTATGAAACACTTGTCTTTAATCCTCCATTATAGAATATATTCCCGTGCACCCATCTCCGTTGAACATTTGTCATCGATAACACGTTTAACCAAACGCTTGATCGCAGTGGGATACCTCCGGTGGGAAATCGGTCACCAGCACGTATTGCACATCCCAGTCCAAGTAACATAAATAGCAAGTTTTATTGAGGTTTTAAAGCACTATAAAAGTCTAAATCATGGTCTACAGTACCCTCATAAACCCAAACGGCCACCACCGGGTAGTGGTCCGAGCTCAGCTCCTGGAAGGCCACAGGTTGCGAGATGTTGTGTCCATTGTTGCTGACGAAGATGTCGATGGTCGCATGGATCCCAGACCCACTCAACCGGGAGGGAGTGTCCGGGGCCAAGATGGTATAGTGGCCTTCTTGCAGGTCTTCATTCAGGATGGTGCCATTTCGGTTGCTCCGACCGTTGCCCCGTTTTTGGTGTTTTGCATTCAGGTCGCCAGCGATGATGAAGTTCCCGCACCTCCGGGTGAGTTTTATGATGTCTTTCCGGAGGGCCACTGACGACCCGTCACTGTTGTTGGTTTGCTTGGGGCAGTAGACCGCGATCATGGTAATTGGGCCAAGTGATGTGCTCACCTCCATTCCGATGGCTTCGATTGTTTTCAGCTGGAAGTTTGGTAGCAGCCGACAACTGATGTTCCGTCTTGCAGCGATGGCCACTCCCCCACCCCCATAGCAGGTGCGGTCACGTCTGACGAGCCGGAAGTCGGGAAGGAATACGTTCAGTTCGGGCTTCAAGTGCGTCTCGGTGATAGTAGTAATGTCGATCCTTGGTGTTGAGGTAATCGAGTATATTTGTTCGTCAGCGTGCAAGCGTTTCAATTTGCTATTTTTATAGCTTCACGGTTCATACATGGTGACGAGAGATAAGGCAGCATGAAGCTGTTCAGATCGAGTCTAGTTCCTCCGATCTAAACGGAGATTCGTCAACTGAATCGCATGAGGCCACACGGGCTTACGATATCCAGGTGGGCATACGATATTCCAGGGCAGAAACTTGATTTGGCAGGGCTGCAGCAGTGAAGTGATGCTGAGCTGAGGGGGCGGCTCGTTGATTGTTGAAGGGGAAGCGGTGGGAGATTTAGGACCAGGTGACGAGGCTGGATTGCCGGGTATTGTTCATCCGTGATGGCTTTTAGTGTACGTTTGTTTCGATGCTGGCCTGGCTGCTTGCTAGTAGCCACCTTCTTTCTGATGTTGATGTATTCCGTTCGCTTGGGGCAGTCCCGAGCAGTGGTACGGTGCGTACCGCCGCAATTCACGCACTTCGGCTTGGTGTCATCAGTTTGAGCACACTTGTCGAAGCGTGGTTTCATATAACAATCCTTCGTGCCATGGCCGAAGGAGCGGCAACTTGTGCATTGGGTCACATCACGGTGTTGTGGTTTGTAGGATTCCCAGTAGATAAAACCCTGAAACAGGTCACGTATGTTGCTCCACAGCTCAACAAGGGTGGTAGAGCCCTTCGCGAAGTGGACCAGAAACAATTGGTCACGATAGTTAGTATTGGGCATAGGTCGTCAATTCATTGGTTGGAGTGCCTCTGGTTTTCATCTGAGCCTCACTAGTTCATCTTTCACGGCAGCCGCTTCGTACGACGGCAGTCCCCGTAAAACAACCTTCAATGGTTTCACCGAAGGCAAATCGTGGGTGTAAAACTCCACCGTACTATTCTTCAGTCCGACCGACTTGTACTGCTGTAGGCTGGAGCACATGATCTTTGTTCCTGCGATACAGATCTTGAATCGCGGGAACAATTTGAGTTTTGCCCTAAGCTTGGCGACGTCCTTCATCGGAGTAAACAGCGGGGGACCATTTTGCTATGGAGACTAAATGTGATCAAAACAGATTTTCTTTCGAAGTCTCATATGGTTTGATAGATCTTATGATTAGTTTTGACTCAAATAAGGTTCTGACAATGTCCTCGAAGGCACTCGGAACATGTCTGATGAGGTCATAGGGTTATTGGCTTTGCCAATCTCTAATTGAATGTAATTATTCTAATGGAGCCTTTTTTACCATTTTATTCGCTGTCTCGCAATGTTTTGAGACTCTCTGAGAGAGGCAACACGTGTTTATTTCACAGTTAATCGTGGTAATTTTGAATTAAACAGTTGGAAGCTTGACCTCAGACGTTAAGCGGTCATGGATCTTTTAACAACTACGATCGGAACTGGAGGCTGTAAAAGACGAAGATGTTCTTCGGCCTCAATTGGTCATCCTCATTTATAGGACGGCAAGGAGAGTCATATTGTCTTATTATTGTAGTGTATGTTGCCCAATTCTTGCGGTGCATTTTGCCTCTTTGCCCCTTTTTTGTAGTGCATTTTGCCCCAGCATGGGTGAATTTTACCCCGATTAGCGGCATTGCCAAAATATTTTATCAATTTCTTAAATCACTTTTTAAGGTACATTTTCAAAGTTTTCATGTAAAGGCTCACGCCTTAGCACGCCGCTAGCACGCCTCTAGTGTTGGGAATCAACAATCTTTGCTAGAGGTTTGTTTACACTTCTATAGAGAATAACTGGTGCAAGTTTGATCGAAGTAGTCAATCGCGTTCAGAAGTAACGTCAAATGGAACTCGAAAGAAGAAAAAATATTGTGCTCAAACACCTGGAAAATCCGGAGTAGTCCGGTTCTAAGCTGGCTAAAGTGCTGAAGATGCCGAAAACAACAGTTTGTTGAGTGCTCAAAACCTACAAGGAAACAAGTGTGGAACCCAAGTAGCATTGCAAGCTTTATAGAGGTTTTGTACCATTCTACAAACCTAAATCGTGGTCTACAGAACAGTCATAAAACCAAAATTGTTACTTGGGAAAGGACTCAGCTGACCTACGAAAAAAACTGGAACCAAGGATCGTCAGCTGCGCAGCAAGGTGTTGAGGTGCGTTAGGCCAACCCCGGCCAATTGTCATAATTCTTTATCCTGTAACTTATGCAACGTTTCCTGAACATTTATAAAACTCCTTTAAATTTTAAAAATTTTCCCCTGCTCTAAGAAGTTCCCTGAATTAATTCCAAATTCCATATTTATTCCATCTCTGGTAATCGTACGAAGATCTCTGAACATCTTGGCTCTTCAGGAAAGACAATTATCATCTACAATTATTCTTGAACAGCTGGAAAGTTCCTTGAAATATAACGAAGTTCCCAAAACCTCCAAGAAGATCATTGAGCTTTTTTAAAGAAAGATCGCTGACAAACTGCAACGAAGTTCCCTAAACTGAAGTAAGGATCCCTGAAATTCTTAGAAGCTTACTGAACTATTGTTCTTCTACAAAATTCCCTGAACTTTTTTTCCGGAGATGAACCAGCCTGCGGCTGAAAATCTACTAAATAGAGTGTTGACGATAGACGTCTTGCCGCACTAGAAGGACTTTCTTCGCTAGTAGATCACTAGCACCGAGACGAACTCTGCAGTAATAACTGCCCAAAACTGAGTCACCGATCACTAAGTCCCTTCTTACGGGGGGACTTTAATGCACACTCGATCACTTTGTCATCGACCGACCAGAGAAACAGACGACGTAAGTTCTGCTTTCTTCAACGTGTATTTTGTAACTGAACTATTTACATAAATTTGCTCGTCCCTTACCTCCTACTGTGGTAGTGACCATCGGCTATCTATCGGTCGATATCGTAATATAAAGTTCTCTCCCTCTCTCTGCTCGCAATTCAATAACAGTCTGTATCATTTGGAATGGTAATTCAACACTTAACTAATTGGATTGATATTTACAAAATCTTATTCCTATCTCCAACATTCCGGCCACCTTGAAATATGGAATGTTTCAATGTTTCTTAATACTACTATTTACAAATTCGTTCCGTTTAACTATTCACTGTCGAGGCTCCGATTCTGCATTATACCGCATTCGCTGGCTTAATGGTGACCGTATGATCATTTTTCCCAGATTGATTCAACGGACGTATGGGATGACGGTGGATTCCTCGAAGTAGACCGGGAATAAGAAAAAACACCAGGTAGATCATTCAAGGCAAATATATATACTTGGACCTGCAATAACCTGTGCAATGCGCAGGTGCGCATCGAGCAATTTCTCCCATAATGGGTTGCTCTACCTGGCTAGTTGATTGATGTAGGTTGTGACGAAGGAAGTAAGGCGATTCGTGCTACGGAACGCACGACTTCTTTAGATGAGGCTGTGCGGAGAGTCACCACTCGGACGACGCCATCTTTTCCAGGATGAAGCTTCACGATTTTCCCCAGCGGCCAGTTTGCAGGTGGAACGTTGTCTTCCTTGATGATGACGATGACACCGACATCAATGGTGACAGGTGGATTGCAACCCTTGGATGCACGGGATTGTAACTGTTGTAAGTATTCCGGATACCAACGGGACCAGATTTGCTGCACACGCTTCTGGGTCAATTCCCAGTGATTCAAGCGATTATCCGATGTCTCCTTCCAATTCAAATCAGGAACCGCTTGAAGATTACTTCCAACTAGGAAGTGTCCTGGAGTCAAGACGTCAAGGTCGGTGGGGTCCTCCGGAATTGGTGTGAGGGGTCGAGAGTTAAGACACATCTCGACTTGCGCCAATAAGGTCAGAAGATCTTCATAAGCTATATTGACATTACCGATCGCCTTCAGAAGGTGTGTCTTCGCCGATTTGACTGCGGCCTCCCAGAGACCTCCGAAGTGTGGTGCTCGGGGCGGAATGAACTTCCACGAGATTTCGTTGCATGAACACCAGTCGAAAATTTGTTCACGATCGGAAGTTTCGACCTTCAGCATGCGGTAGATCCTGTTAAGAGCATGCGAAGCACCTTTGAAGGTAGTTGCATTGTCGGAATGGAGTTCGACGACCTTTCCTCGACGGGCGACTAGGCGACGGAGTGCAGCTAGAAAAGCAGTGGTTGTTAAGTCGCTAACCAGCTCAATATGGACAGCCCTGGTTGAGAAGCAGACGAAAATTGCCACGTACACTTTGGTGGGGCCACGCTTTCGAATTGCAGACTTTACGTAGAATGGTCCACAATAATCGACACCGCACACGGAAAACGGACGCGTCGGCGAAACTCGCGATACCGGCAGAACGGCTGTGCTCTGCTGGACTAGAGTGGGCTTGGATCGAAAACAAGTGTGGCATTGGTGGTAAACGGACTTGACAAGATTTCTACCGCCGAGGATCCAGAACTTCTGGCGAAGAGTGGCTAACAGGAGTTGTGGACCTGCGTGCAGTAGTCTTACGTGGTAACTGCTAGCCAGCAGAGTAGCTAGCGGATGTTTGGCGGACAACGCGATTGGATATTTGATCACGTCGGACAGCGTGGCATTACGTAGACGACCACCAACGCGGAGGGTACCAGCTTCATCTACGAACGGTGTTAACCATTTCAGTGCTAATGATTTGGCGACACGGTCGCCGTTTGAGAGATCTGACAGCTCCTCAGCGAAACTATCGCACTGTGCTAAGCGGCAGAGTAGTTGTTCGGCGTATTGTAGCTCGGCAGTGTTCAGTGGTAGAACGGACGATGCTTTATCTCGGACGCTCATGTTCAACGTAAGAGAATCCGACCCGGAACGACGCAGCTGTGCCCGATCCTGCAATCGCTGCAGATAGCGACCGCAGTATGCTACTACTCGTTGTAGTTTTCTGTAACGAGAGTAACGTGAAAACAAATCCTCGCAGAAGTTGGTTTGTGCAGTGGCCATTGCCACGATCGGAGCCTTGCGCCCTTCTTCAGATGCCGTGGAGGAACATTCTTGATCGATGATGGTCTTTGGCCAGTGATCAGAAGTGTGCTCGAGCCAAGACGGACCATTCCACCAACGAGATGAATTCAGGATATCCGACGGATTTAGGCCACGCGAAATGTCATCTGCGGGATTCTCGGAACCGGCGATGTGCCTCCAGTGTTGTATGTTCGTAGTGGTCTGGATCTTAGACACTCGGTTAGCAACGAATGTCTTCCATCGATTTGGAGAGGCACGTAGCCACTGTAGAACGGTACTGGAATCTGACCAGAAATTGGCGGTGGCCTTGATCTTCAACGACGCGTCGATCTTCTTGTATAATTGAGTGGCTAAATGTGCGGCGCACAACTCTAGCCTGGCGATGGAGTGGTGTGTAGACAGTGGTGCTACCTTTGACTTTGACGTCAACAAATGTACGTGAATTCCATTCGCAGATTCCGAACGTACGTAACAGCATGCACCATACGCGACAGTGGATGCATCGGCAAAAAATGCAGCTGAACAGTACCACCTCCGGAAGAAAGCACTAGACGAGGAACACGGACTTCACCGAGAATATGGAGTGTGGTGTGAAACTGCTTCCATTCATGTTGTTGCTTTTCTGGCAGCGGGGAGTCCCACTCACAAGAAACTCCGTCTCGTTTTAACGACCATAGACGCTGCATGAATAGCTTCGCCTTTGTTATTACCGGACCCAACAATCCTAGTGGGTCGAATATCTGGGCGATGTATGACAACACTTTGCGTTTAGTGAGGGTAGCAGCAGGAAGGGGTATTTCCACTTTGAAACGGAGATTGTCTGCCTTCGGATCCCATAATATGCCAAGCGTGGAGATTGTCTGTTCATCTTGGAGATGATGGAGAGAATGAATGGCCAAATCTTCTGGCGGAACGTCCTGTAGTACTTCACGGGAACTTGATGCCCATTTCTTTAACGTGAACCCAGCGGAACCGAGCATGGCGCTTACTTGTCGACGGAGGGTTATGGCAGATGCTACGTCCGGAGCCCCAGATAACAAATCGTCGACGTAAAAATCTTCTACAACAGAATCAACTGCAGCAGGATACAATTCTCCATGATCCTTGGCAATCTGCTGGAGTGTTTTCGTTGCCAGGTACGGAGCACTAGCCGTACCGTATGTGACGGTCTGTAATTCGAATGTAGCGATGGGGTCGGATGGAAGTCTGCGATATCGTATACGTAGGAATGGAAGGTCGTCGGGATGATGCAACACTTGCCTGTACATCTTTTCGACATCTGCTACAAATGCGATGAGTCGCGTTCGGAACCTCATGTAGATCGTGTAGAGGTCTTGCTGAACCACCGGTCCAACAAGCAGGGTATCGTTTAAGGAGTGGCCTGATGAAGTCTTACATGATGCGTCGAAGACTACCCTGACCTTTGTGGTCGTGCTAGACTCTTTAAAGACGACGTGATGCGGAATGTAGCAGTGTGGATCTTGGTCATTAACCGGCTCTGGGACTTCCTTCCTGTGGCCAAGTTGTAAATACTCCTCCATGAACCGATGATACGAGTCCTTGGTTGCGGGATCTCGTTCAAGTCGATGTTCCAGGCTCAGAAATCGTCTATCTGCAATTGATCTGGATTCGCCGAGAACCTTTTCAGGGTCTTCAACCCTTGGGAGACGCACGATATATCTTCCTTTGGAATCGCGCGTAGTAGTTGTCGAATACAGCTCCTCACATCGACCTTCTTCTACAGATCGAACTGGCTCGGATGGAATCGTCTCCATGTCCCAAAACTTTTGTAGAGCAGTTTCCAGACGATCGTCAGCGGTAGATAGATAGCAGAAATGTGGTATACAGGTAGCCGAGCGAGATGCGGGACCAGTGACCGCCCAACCAAATGAAGTTTCGACTACCCACGGCAGACCTTCACCAAGAGAAATCTTCCGTCCCGTGTGGAGTTCCCAATAAGTTTCACTCCCGATGACAAGATCAACACTTCCGGGAATACTGAACTGGGGATCTGCTAGCTTCACATTCGGAATCTTCCATGCCGAAATATCAATCGGCGTTGTTGGAAGCTCCGATGACGGCTGCTTCAGTACTAAAAACTGCAATTTCATCGAGATCGTTCGATCTCCCGACTCGATGGTTGCGGTAATGGCACTACTGACCTTTTGTGTGGATGATCCGATGCCTGCAACGGACACGTTCACAGTTGATCGGCGACTGTAGAGATTCTTAGCCAGTGGTTTCGAAATGAAGTTCGACATCGATGCCGAATCGAGGAGAGCTCGGGCCTTGTGCATTTTACCGTGATCGTCGATGATGTTGATGACAACCGTTTCCAACAATGTCATGGTGCATGCAGTTTGGACTGCCATGCTGACTTGGCGGGAGCCAGGGGATTCCACGATTTGTGACGTGGAAGGAAGCGGCTGTTGAACTGAGGAAGCTGTTGGGACAGCTGAAATCGATGACACGGTAGATGACACAGCTGAACTAGTTTGAATGGCTGGTGTCGCAGATACCTTTGCCGGAGCGGGATCGTGCAGAAGCGAGTGATGTTTCTCGTGACAAGTACGGCATGTAAATTTGGAACCACACTTCTTGGACTGGTGACCGAAGCTGAGGCAGTTCCAACACAATCGTTTCTGGGAAACTATCTCTCGTCGTTGACCGACGTTCTTTCCAAGAAACGCTGGACAGGATCGTAGCGAATGATTGTCCGAACATGAAAGCGGACACGGGTAACTCGGAGCAGATGTGGATTGTCTGGTCCGACGGAGTTGAGAATGCGAACCCGTTGGTACAGAAATTCGATCATCTCATCGTACTTTACATCTTCCTTTTGGCTAGTTTTCTCCTCCCACGCACGTAGTGTTGCATGATCCAGTTTATACAAGAGAAGCTGGGATAATGGCAAGTCCCAGTGATCTACCGGTTCATCAAGTTTGGCTAGAGTACGAACATGGCGTTGATAATCGTCAACCAACCCATGGATGCGTGTCGCACACTCCTGCTTAACTGCTGGTAAATCATACAGAGCCTTAAAGAGTTGCTTCTTCAGGTACTTGCGGTTGTCGTACCGCTTCATCAATGCGTCCCATGTCGTAGCGTAGCTGTCAGCCTGAATGTCCACAGATTCGAATGGCTTCTTGGCACTGCTTTCAAGAGACTGGAGCAGATACTGAAGTTTAGCGACCGTGGGAATGTCACCGTTTACGTGGACCATCGACGTAAATGTGTCGCGGAAAGAAATCCAACGCGAGAAGTCACCGTTGAACTTAGGCAGGTCGATCTTGGGTAGACGTAGGTGAAAGCTTGGTTGGTGTTGTTGTGAAGCTAAGATCGAATCATTCAGTGTCGAATGATTACTACCTCCAGTGCGCTTTGAAAGTAGGAAGCCCTTTGCCTGGCAGTACCGCTGCTCGAAATTTACACGTTCATTGATGTGTGTGTCCAGATTCTCCGAGTTGTCCAACTTCTCTATCACGTCCTGGCAGTCCATGAAATTTACATTCAGCTTGTCCAGTGATTCAATTCGCACACACAGTTGACAGGCATCACGACCGTGGTCAAACTCACGAATGAACCGCTCTAGAGCATCTAATATTTTTAGAAGACCTTTCCGCTGCGTTAGGCGGTCAGCCAATAGCTTCTCCTCTTTGGCAGGCATCGCGAAAGAAAGCGAACGGAAACGGTAGTTTAATCGAAACGAAAAATCCTTCCCGACGCGAACTAACCGTTTCTACGCGGAACCGACACGGCGAGGGTGATACACAATCGAACGAAATATCTCCTTCCCGACGCGGTGTAAAAACCCTTCACGACGGTAGATATCGACGGAAGTGAGTCGTTTTTAAATCGAATCGATCTCTCCTTCCCGTCGCAAACGAACCCACTTCTTCGCGGTCTCGCAAATCGAGGGCGCGAACGGTTTTCCACTCGATTCGCGGTCGTATAAACCACCAAGCCACAATAGCAAATAGAAAAGCTACCCACTTTCTTATGTTCTAACCACGGATATTGCTAGCCACATGCACTAGTATGGAACAGACTCACCGAGAGCAATCCTGGGGATCGGATGCTTTCCAAAAGGGCTCAGCGAAATTGCGCCAAGTAGTTCCAATGGTGCCAGTGAGCGATGGCGTCCAACAGCGTCGCCAAGTGAAGCTAGCAAACGTTGATTATGGCAGCGGCGTGATGGCGATGCAGGGTCATTCACCACCATACAAAGGCAACGTACGATGCAAAATGGCCAGGAACAGTTTCCAATCTTCTACTCCAAATAGAGTAACACACGGCTTTGTGCACTCTCAAGCGCAAATTAGTTCGTCACACAAAATACACGCACTAACAGTTTGCCGACGGCAGAAAGTGTTTCGAACGATTTGATTTCGTTTTTCACCCGCGATCAAAACACTAGAAGCGATAGTCACTATCGTTCACCCAAATACCGTCACAAGATCGTATGCGCTAATCAAATTATCTCCCACTGCTGCCGAAAAGTACCCGACTTGGTACTATCCCCACTGCGCGAAGCAAAAGCACGAAATGCGCTGATTGATTGAAATTCTTCTCCACACCACTGAGGATCACCTGGCTTGATAATACCCCACAGCGCACACGCACTTTGTTCGTACAGAATCGCAAATTTTGAAAAACGCAATGGCAGCAACACCGATGACCAGTGCACGTTTGGTCAGCAAAATGGTCACTTTTACACCCCGCGAAAGCTTTCTCGGTATGAATTGCCTTCTATCCGGCTCGAAGGACCAATGTTGACGATAGACGTCTTGCCGCACTAGAAGGACTTTCTTCGCTAGTAGATCACTAGCACCGAGACGAACTCTGCAGTAATAACTGCCCAAAACTGAGTCACCGATCCTTCTTACGGGGGGACTTTAATGCACACTCGATCACTTTGTCATCGACCGACCATAGAAACAGACGACGTAAGTTCTGCTTTCTTCAACGTGTATTTTGTAACTGAACTATTTACATAAATTTGCTCTTCCCTTACCTCCTACTGTGGTAGTGACCATCGGCTATCTATCGGTCGATATCGTAATATAAAGTTCTCTCCCTCTCTCTGCTCGCAATTCAATAACAGTCTGTATCATTTGGAATGGTAATTCAACACTTAACTAATTGGATTGATATTTACAAAATCTTATTCCTATCTCCAACATAGAGATAATAATAATAATAATAATCCCTGAACTTTTTACGCAGTTCCTCAAAATGTTACGAAATTCGCAAAACATCTACAAAGTTTGCTGTACATCTACGTTTCTTCTTGCATTTCCACGAAGTTTCACGAACGATTTTTTTTAATTTGTACGTAATTTCCACAACTATTCCAAGTTCATGAGGCTTCAAAAAGTGCCCTGAGGTTCCCGATCAATAATGAGCTGCCCTGAAATAAAATAATGTTCCCTTAACTTCTACGAAGCTCTCCAAACTTAAATAAATTTTCCACTTCTACGTAGTTTTCAGAATTTTTCCACGTTTCTTGTTTCTACTAAGTTTCTTTAATTTCTTCTATGTTCCCTAAACTTCTTAGAAGTCTTTGAAGTTTTACGAAGTTCCCAGAAGTTGCGAAAATACCATATGCTCATGGCCAATTTGTAGAGCCTGAAGAAGTCTTATTTTGCAATCGATTAAATGTCGATATTGTCTTCGGAGACGAACCAGCCCAGGGCTGAAAGTCTTCTTTATAAAGATATGAAAAAATATCGATATTATATAACTTCTAAAAACTGTTTATTCTAGTCTACAACATAAGAAAAGAAGTCAAGTTAAAGAACTTTAAAGAATCGTTGTTTGTTTTCCAATTTTTTTAATTGCTGTTAAATAGTAACATCGAACTTGACAAGCTTGATAAAATACCGACGAGTCAAAAAAAAAAAACCCAAAATTCTGTCCAGATAATTCTGGCACTCCCATTGCTACGCCAATCATGATTTGGCAAGCGATATGCAGTTGTGGCCTGAAAACAGAACCATTCGTTACATTCTCGACGATGAAATCCCAAGAATCGAAGAATGCCTGAAAAAGCGTGTATTGCCGTTCATCCGCTAGCATAGGGGCAAAGTCATCTTTTGGCCCGATTTGGCCAGCTGCCACTACTCCAAGGTGGTTCTGGAGTGGTATGCTGCCAAGAAGATCAATTTGGTCCCCAAGCTAATGAATCCTCCGAATTGCCCGGAATTCCAACCAATCGAAAAATACTGGGCAATTTCAAAGCAGTTATTTCGACGAAGCGGCGGGGCATTTAAGGACATCCAGCAAATGCGTGTCAAATGGAAGAAATGCGCTGATTCCGTGTCCGTTTCCACTGTGCGGGTGCTTATGGGCTCCATCAAGAGGAAGGTTCGAGATTTCGTTCGAACTGGAGAAATGTAACCATCTAATGCTGTAACTTTGAAGTTTTAATAAAAGTACTATAAGGCAACTGTTAATGGACTTTTAAACTTTTTGGATCACGAATTACAGGTATTGTTGTGTGTACAAATTTACTTTTAGTCAGTCTTTATGTGCACACCAAAAAATTCTGAATTTTACTGGCGATGTAAACATCCATGCATGCAAACATTCATACATGTAAACTTCCTTTTCACGTGAATTAGCAACTTGCAAGAAATGTTGCAAACAAAAGTGGACAGTTGCATACAATATATGGGATATTGCATGACATGTCTCATAAATTTACACGATCTGTAATCTAAATTTGTATGATATATGACGCTCCATTTATGTGCATCATAGTAACGGAAATTTACACTACTTTTTTTTAGCTGTGTGGCGGCGAATGTAAGCAACTTCCTAAATAAAGCTTAAGATAATTTAGGCAATACATACATGTTGCTTTTAATTTTATCGGAAAAAACAAACCTTGATTTACTTAACAGGTGTATTTTTCCCCAGGCACGTTTCTGGTTGTATCATTTCTGTATTGACGTAGTGTTTCCTACACTGAAAATGTTTTTTCGTTAATTCACTTTATCTCATTTCGTAAATAAAGAATCATTCGTATTGTACTTCGTTGGGTACAATGCCAACATTACGCACAATTCGTACGCATGCACTGAATTTTTTACTCACATGAAAACTGCCGATACGAAATTCGTGAACACTACGAAGCCATTCGTTTGTAGTACGAATTACATTCAACAGTCCCCTTATTTTTAGGTGTTCTGTCATTTGAATTTCGCTTCGTGTGAGTGCTTCTCTTACTTCTTGTTTGGTTGTGTGAAAATAGCATCGAAAAAAAATGTGTAGAAATTGATCTTTTAATTAGTATTTAGAGTTCGCTTAAAATGTTCGGTCGTCAGTGGACTAGGCCTAGTTCTCGAATAGCTAGAAACACTCAACATTCGTCATCTTGGGCAAGGCAAAGGAATGCGGTGAGTAAACATTTTCAACCAGCGCTACTAGTTCGGCTTGTAATTTCATTGATGTTTCCCAGGATACCGTTCCAGCACCGTTTTAGATCACATTCCGTTACGAATTACTTCTACAATCACAAGATTGCAACACATTTTGCCCTAATCCATAAGGATAGCTGCAAGTGCCAAGGTGTGGAGTTCCACAGTATCCTTACTGGTGTTCTCAATCAAAAACGTTTCCGGATGTATCAGTTTTTATTGGGGCGCATGGAAATCCGATGTGGACTTGAATAATGGTGAAGATGCTGAAGAAGCAGAAGGCTGATGGATTTGTGGTGGTGATTAGGGTTGGTAATACCGGCACATTTTTTCTAAAACCGGTTTTACGGTATTGAAAATTCTAATACCGGTAAAACCGGTAAAACCGGTATTTGGACGAAGTTCTAAAAGAAATAAAAAGCTGCATAATTTGTATAAAAAGCGTTTATTGGTCAACGATTGAATACAAAAATGCACTATTCAAAGCTTGGCCATGGTCGTTGAAATAACCTTTGAGAACGCAAAGAGCGTTTATCGTATTATCTCCCAAACGAGAACGGAGCTTACTGACAAAGTTTACGGATGCCGAAAATGCTCGTTCACACTCCACTGATGTAGGACGTACAGTGCAAAGGGCATCGTAAATCATCTTCATGTATTTGCCTTTCAAACTCTCTGCATCGTAGTAGGCGAACTCTTGTCGAACAACTTTTGTCAAACTGTTTGGTGACGTTGACGTTGAGCCAGAACTAGAAGCTGCAAACTTCGACTGATGCAACCGTCTTTCAAATTTTTCCTTCACGGTCAAATCATCGTTCTCTGCATCAGCTGCATCGATTGAGTTCCTCTCTTCACTCGATCTCTACATTCATTCCGTTCCCTTCCAAATCAATCAAACGATGTAGTATTTCAATCGACTGCTTTATCAAAGCAGTCCGCGAGGTCTTGAAGAATATTCCAAAGTCATGTGTCATTGTATCGCGGACAGTGCGGTTGCTCATAAATGCAAACAAATCTGCGTAGACGAACCGTCTTTCTGAAATTCTTCCAACAAAAGACTCGAGGAGCTGTTTCGCGATATTTGAAGTTTGTTCCGAGAGCTGCTCTAGCATAAAGTGAAAGTCCACATCAGCTTCATAGATCGTACAATCCTTACGGCACAGCAATTCAACAGAAGCCAGAACTGGTTCCAGTTCTTCTTCGCTAAAACTAATCTTGTTCTTGGTTTTCAAATCGAGCAGAGATT